ATTTATTAATATCACAGTTTATAAAAAATAATTTAATTCTTGAAAAGAATTACATTTTTTTTATATAGTTGAATTCTTGCGACGAATTTTATAAAAATCTTTTTAAATAATCGAATTCCAGTGAAAATTTTATTACTTATGAAAATAATTTAATTCTTCAAACGAATTTTATAAAAAGCTTTTTAAATAATTGAATTCCTGTGAAAATTTTAATTCTTATGAAAATAATTGAATTATTTCGAAGAAATTTATTAAAAATTTTGAAAATAATTGAATTCTTGTTAAATTTTGCCAAGAATTTTATTAAATTTTTTAAAAATAATTGAATTTTGAAGAAGAATTTTATTATTTATAAAGATAATTGAAATTTTGACGAGAATTTTATCAAAGTTTATAAAAATAATTGAATTCTTGAAAAGAATAAAATATTTTTTAAATTAAAATCTTGCGACGAATTTAATAAAAATCATTTTAAATAATTGACATTTTTTGACAACTTTTCTGAAATTTTGTATTTTAAAAAATTGTATTTCTGTGAAAATTTTATTACTTATAAAAATAATTTAATTCTTCAAACGAATTTTATCCAAGTTTATAAAAATAATTGAATTCTTGAAAAGATTGAATTTTTTTTTAAATAATTGAATTCTTACGACGAATTTTATAAAAATCTTTTTAAATAATTGATATTTTTTACAAAATTTTATGAAATTTTGTATTTTAATTAATTGAATTCCTGTGAAAATTTTATTACTTATGAAAATAATTGAATTACTTCGAAGAAATTTATATTAAAAATTTTGCAAATAATTGAATTCTTGTGAAATTTTGCCAAGAATTTTATTAAAATTTTAAAAAAGAATTGAATTTCAAAGAAGAATTTTATTATTTATAAAGATAATTGAAATTTTGACGAGAATTTTTTTTTAATTTTTGAACATAATTTAATTTCTGCGAAGAATTTTATTATACTTTTGAAAATACTTGAATTTCTGGAATCATTTGTAATTTTTCCAAAATTCAATTTTTTTTAGTATTTTTAACTAAATTTCTTTTATCAATCTAGTATTTATCAAAATTGTAAAAATTATTCATTAAATAATTTATAAGTCATAATTTTATAGTTTTTGAAAAATTAAGTTATTTAAAGAGAAATTATTGTCAGAAATAGAAAAAATTGAAGGTTTTGTATTAAAATTCGTGGTAATTTCATAGTCCCTGATTTTTACCTGATTTCCCTGACTTGTGGCAACCCTGCTTTTTCTTTAATTTCTCCGAAACGAATTATAATTATGTCATAATAATTTTTCGATTTGTCAGCTGAAATTCTCTTATTCTTTTCTACTCCGAAAGATAAGTAATTACCTATCATCTCAAAGAATTAGATTTTAAAAAATAAATTCTAAGTTAAAAATAGAATTTAATACAACTAGCGGCAAAGAATTATTATTATTTATTTATTATAATTATTAAATAATTATTTAATACAAAAAAATATTCTTGAAAAAAAAACAAATATTTTTCTTTTCGTTGAATATAATTTTTTTTCAGTGACGTGAGATGAATTTATTTTAAAAATAAAGAAAAAGAGAAGGCATAAATGAAAAGGATGATTAAAATGCATCTGTCGTTGCAAAAATAAATTACAGATGATGAGTGAAGCAAGAAGTAAAGTATGCAATTGATTTTATCAAAGACTTTTGCAAATTTAGAAAGTTAGCACTTGATTAAATTAAAGGCCTCTAAAACTTAATTCACAAAACTCGACGTCTGCTTGTTTTGTCGCAATTTATTCACCCTGCCTTGTATTTTGAGGAAAACACTCGGAGAGTAATTTATTAGCGAGGAAAATAAAATTAATTTTCTTCAAGCCAAAAATCTTTCCCTCTATTATTTATCCATTATTAAAAATGATACGGCAATTAATAATCCTGTAAAGAAGAAAAAGAAAATTACAAATTAATTAATAATCTTAAACTTGGTATTTTCTTTTTCAACATTTTTAATTTCAATATTTTTTTACTTTAACTTTTAATAATCGAATTTAATACAAATAGCAATAAATCATCTTTATTTAGTTGAAATTTAGATAGAAATTAAAAAATATTACACATTTTTTGAAATATTTAGATTTTTTTATTTTCGTGCATCCTAAATATAGAGATGTTAATTGTTCGAGTTAGATATTACTAGTGGAAATTTTCTCATCGTGTTTATTTGTTAGAAAAGTTATTAAACCAATTGAAGTTATAAATGAAGCATTTAGTGAGCTAACGTGGTTGAATAAACTTAACTTCTAAATCTTAACTATGCTTGTAATGTAGATGGAATTACACGAACATTGTTGAGTAGTTTCAGTGTACAAAGTAGATTTAAGTTAGATGCGTGGACATGAGCTTGAAGGGTAGTTTCTAACGAAGCGACTAAACGAGCAAGATCTTGTTATAGTTGCATAGGAGTTATAAAGGAATTTATTAACGCGCAAAAGCAGCGTTATCAGAAGATAATCGAAAATATATTACGATAACATATATCTATGATGTAATTAAATAATGAAATTTTCAATAAAGAAAAGCTTCTTCATCTCAAGTAATATTAAAAACTTTTATTACGTTCATGTTCCAGAAATTTAATTAATTTAATTAGAAAAAAAAATTATTTTATGTATTAAATTATTTAAAAAATAAATTAATGTCTGATTTCCAGACAAAATTTTGACTCTTCTCTGACCCTAAAGAATATTCTGATTCATTCTAAAAATGATTAGATATTAAAATTATTCATTAAACCAATTATATTTAATAATTTTTCGAAAACTTCTTTGAGAATTTTCAAAAGTATTTCTTTCTACAATTCAATTTTACGAAATTTCGATTAATCAAAAATTCTGCAACTTCAAATAATTTTTTTAAAAAATTCAATTAAACTTTTTCAAAAAAATTAATTCTGCAGAATTGTTAGTTAATTGGATGAAAAATTCAGATTTTCAAAGATTTTAATTTGAAACCTTTTCCAAATTCAATTATTTCTAAAAATTTACGCTACAATACATTTAATTTTCAATTATTTTCTAAAATTTAACTAAAATTCATTCATAAATCCATTTTTATAAGAAAATTCTACGAGAATTCAATTATTAAAATACAAAAATAATAATTTATTGAATAATTAAATGTTTCTTAGAATTTAATTTCTATAAAGAATTTTAGGAACAAATTTTTAAATAATTCAATTGTTTTGACGAATTTTAATAGAATTTTTAAGAATAATTACATTTTTCGAGAAATTCAATTAAAATTGTATAAAAAATAATAAAAATTCTGCCATGAGTTTTTATTATTTACGAAAATAATTAAATTCCTAAAAATAATTCTATTATTTATGATAATTGAATTATTGCGAAGAAATTTATAAGAAATTTGTAACTAATTGAATTTCTTATGAAATTTTTATTATTTATGAAAATAATTAAATGTTTGCGCAGAATTTTATAAATTTTTTTTTTAAATAATTGAAATTTTGACAAGAATTTTATTAAAATTTTTGAAAATAATTGAATTTTGAAGAATTTTATTATTTACAAAGATAATTGAAATTTTGGCTCATTAAAATTTTCCAAAAATCTAAATTCTTTAAAATTTGTTATTAAATTCATTCAAAATTAAAATTTTATAAAATTTCGAATTAAATCATTTGTTTATGAATATTGTAAACGCAAATCTTTGTCCTTAAAATTTTTTTTTATTTTCTAAACGTTTAAAATGAAGAGAAGAAAAAATTGAAAAAGAAAAATTTATAAAATAATATAAAGTCTTACCAAAGTAAATATAAATCGGTGTCAATTGTAAAAAATATCGGATATATTCTTTAAAATGTGAGAAAACGTTAAATTTGTTTTGTCAACATAACCTCAAAAGCATAATTGCTGGTCAACTACATTTGACAAGTTGTAGAACTCTTTATTACTGGAATTCTATCGATCAAAATATTCTGTGGCTATTTTAGTTCACATTCAATATTTAAAATACAAAAATATAAAAAATGAAATACAAAAAATGTCCAAATTTTAATTTACAGTAGATAGTATGAAGAATAAAATAATATAATACACTTTCTATAATTATCTTATAACAAAAAATTCGATTGTTTATTATCATCATCTGTTGGTTGGTTTGTAAAAAATTTTACTTTTATAATTAAAATAAATATGCGTCTAATTTAAAATATAAGATTCAGAAATTTTTATGCAAAGTAAATAATTTGCAAAGAGAAATTTGTTACTATACTATATTTATTAGTTTAACGATATTTGATTATCAAATAATCGAAAAGAAATAATAATGGTCAAACGTGAGAAACAAGTCCTGTTATGAAATTCTAAATCTAAAAATAATTTTCAATAAAATAATGTAATGTCTTACCAGAGTAAGTTCAATTCGGTATCAAATTTAATAAATATCGGATATGTCCATTGAAATGTGAAAAATGTGAAATTTGTCTGGTCAACATAACCTCAAATGCATCATTGTTCAATAACTACTTTTGACAAGTTTTGAAACTCCTTGCTACTTGAATTTTATCGATCAAAATATTCACTGATTACTTTAGTTCACATTAAATAAGAAAATATTATCGAAAACTATAAAAATATACTGATCTTTGGAAAAAAGATGCACGATTTATAACGTGAACTACTTTTCTGTGCGCCAAAAGCAAAACAATGTATGTCGTCCTAAACTCATCAAAAATGGCTCATTGTGTTAACGGATTTTACTGAGAGATGGCGCCACATTTACACCGCGAATTTTTAAATTTGTTTATTTCACGCGAATAATGAAAATTGAAAATTTGATTGGTTAATTAATTAAGATAATTAATTTACTGATAATAACTTGAAAAATATTTGAAGAGAAATAATTTTTGTCAAAAGGGAGAAACAAGTTTTGTTAAAAAATCTTGAAGTTTAGAATAATTTTCAGTAAAATAGAGTAAAAACTTACCAAAGGAAATTATAATCAGCTCTAAAATAAAACAGATTTCAGAAATAATATAGATTTCAGAAATAATATAAAATTCAGAAATTTCAGAAAAGATAAAATTTGTTTGGTCAACATAACCTCAAATGCATCATTGTTAAAAAACTACTTTTGACAAGTTTTAGAACTCCTTGCCACTCGAATTTTATTGGTCGAATTATTCACTGATTACTTTAGTTTACATTAAGTACGAAAATATTATCGAAAATTGTAAAAATAAACTGATATTTGGAAAAAATGTTGCACAACTATGTGACAACTATACTAACGTTAACTGTCTTTGTACGTCAAAAGCAAATGTACAACGATGTATGTCGTCCTAAACTCATCAAAAAAGTCTTATTGACAGTGTTAACAAATTTTACTGCGAGCGCGGATTATGAAATTTTTATGATTTATCAGAATACTTTAATAGAAAAAATATCTTACCTAGCAAATTATAATCCAGCTTCAAATCTTATTATAATCTTGAAAATATTCAGAATGTTGTAAATAAAAAAAAATTATTGTATTGTCACAACACAACTATACATTCTTGGCAAAACTTTTAACATTGCAAATTTGTGTTACTTCACTTATGACGATTAAAATATTTACTGTCAATATTTTATAATTAACAACTATAATTTTATCAAGCCGGATAAAAATAAACTGAAATTTATAAAAAATAAGGCACAATTTTCTTGGCGCAAAAAGAAACAGAATGTATGTCGTCGCAAACACATCGAAAAAGTCTCATTGTAATCATAGTACCAATAATTCCTGACAGATGGCGCTGCGTACTACCCAACCTTGCACGATCCGCCATTTTGTTTCCTCACAGTTTTCACTCGACCTCTGTCGAGTAAAGTTATCGGGTTTTTTTCTTGAAATCTGAGTATTATTTTAAAACTTTTCATTAATATTTGTTGTAAATATGAGAAAATTTGTAAAAGTTAGTAGTAATCGTAGACAAGAAGAGGAAAAAAATCGTAGAAGACTCAAAATGTCTGTCAAGCAAATTTGCAGCAAAGTTGTGTTTGGAAAATTTTTTTGACATTGTCAATATTTATGATTAGAAAACAATATCAAGTCATGATTTAAAGTACGAAATTACGAATACAAAATATATGGAATCAATTTATTAGAAAATATGAGGTAAGACTTTCTGCTTTTTGGAATTTTTCTATGTGTAGAATGTTAAAAATATTTCAATTTCGGAATTTTTTTTTAAATAAATTGTTAATATATAAATTGTTAATATATTTTACGAAAGTGGTGCCATCTTGCACGTTAGTTTCGAAACATAACAACCCAACCCTGTATTTTGCTCAACTTTGTATTCTCCCCCACTATATCATCACTGTGTTTTGTTTTTTCGATAATTTTAATTTATTTTTAAACTTTTCGATACTATTTGCCCAATATACAAAATTGAATTGATCGCAATAATTGTTTGGATTTAATCGCACAAGTGAAGTTATAAAAAATCAGTTCTGAAAAAGATTAAAATATTATCTGTCAATAGTTGCTAGGTTATGTTTACAAAATTCTTCATCTCAATCCGCAACTCTTTTATAGATAAAAAAAGCAATATAATGCTTTCTTTCAAGTAAGATTATTATAATTACTACAAAATACATCGAAATTATGTTCGCCGGTAAGATTTTTTTGTTTTCTGACATTTTATTGTGGAGAAAAGTATTTAATTCGATATTTCAATTCTAATTTGCAATGTAATAGTCAACTTTTTATTCATGACAGAAAACAGAATTCAATTATATAGTAATAATAAACATAATGTGTTTATTAATAACAATAAGTGAGTAGAAATATGAAAATAGAAATAATGAGAAATATTTTCAAGAAAGAATAATATATATATACAAAAAGTCGCAGACCAATTTCGAAATATTGTCATAAGAAAAACAGAGATAAGTGCTTTGCATTTTATTTTAAGTGCTACAATAATATTTTCGTTATTTTCAGATAAAGATCCAATGTTTTGTTTTCCCATATATAGTCACAGGAAATAATCTTTCACCTCTTGGGTGAAATTTTCAATTTATTTAAAAAACAATTATTTCGTGAAATTATTCAAAGCATGTTTCGCATTTTTTTTCATTTTAATTACTTTTCTAGTAAATCCATTAAAAGTCCGTAACTTTTATTTTCAAAAATTTTCCTCAATTCAATGATTTTCAATATCTACTATTTTCATAAAATTTCCCAAAAGAATTCAATTATTTAAAAAAAAATTAAATAAAATTATACACAAACTTTTAATTAATTTCTAAAAATAATACAAATTTCACAGGAATTTCATTATCTACAAATTTTTTGATAAATTTCTTCGCAATCATTCAATTATTTTCATAAATAATAAAATTTTTACGGGGATTCAATTATTTTTGTAAACAATAAAATTCTTTTTAGAAATTCAAATTATTTAAAAAAATAAAATTTTTACGGGGGTCCATTATTTTTGTAAATAATAAAATTCTTTTTAGAAATTCAATTATTTTCACTAATAATAAAACTTATCGCAGAATTTCAATTATTTTTAATACAATTTTAATCGAACTTCTCGAAAAACGTAATTATTCTTGAAATTTTTATTAAAATTCTTTGATATAATTCAAATGTTTGAAAATTTGTTGATAAAGATTCTTTATAGGAATTGAATTTTAAGAAACATGCAATTATTCAATTAATTATTTATTTGCATTTTATTTGTATTTAAATAATTGAATTCTATTAGAATTTTCTAATAAAAATTGATTTAAAAATAAATTTCAGTTAAAATTTTAGATAATAATTAAATATTAAATGCAATATAGAGTGAATTTCTAGAAATAATTAAATTTTAAAATTAATTTTTTTGAAAAAGTTTAATTGAATTTTTTAAATATTATTTTAAGTTTTTATTTTCTAATTTTTATTTGAAGAATTTACGAATAATTGAAATTCCGAAAAATTAAACATTGTAAACAAATGGATTTGAAAATTGTCAAAGAACTTTTTCGAAAATTATTTTTGTCAGCAATTGGTCCGTAATTTTTCATTTTTGGTCCGTAAAGTCCGTTTTTTTAAATACTTTCACTGGTTCGCGCCCTGTATTTTTCCATAAAATTTGATACTAAAAAAATGATTTGTTTCCAGACTACATTTCCGATATTGAAATGAAAAAAATTGTCTGACATTGTTTTATTGGGGAAAATAATACTAAGTTTTAAAAATAGAGAGGAATAGTGCGTACAAAACAGGCTACTTTTTTATATTTGAAATTAACATCTTGAAAAGTTATAGCAACATGAAAGAGAAAACAACCCCCTTTTCTGGTGTGTTGTAAAAAAAATGAGAGAGTCAAATGTAAAACGCGTAACTTTTTACTGTTTTTTAAAAGAACAAACCACCACTGGAAAGTTTCGTATAACGCGTTTTTTGTATTTAAATTAACAGCTTTATTACCTTGTTTGCTAAAGTTTTCTTCTTTTCTCCCTCTCTTTTTTTGTAAACGAAACACGATATAATAGTTCTTTTTATACGTATTTCGTGTGATATTTATGAAAATTGGCTTAATACTATGACGATAATGGGAGGAAGATAACATTCATTATTGTAATAGCTTATCTCAGTTTGCTTATATAATTTCGTAATTGCAATTTTGCAAACTGCAACGATCAAAATATAGATTAAACTGAAACTGAATTATGTTGCATTCACTTATACGTATATATATAAATTGTGCGTTGTGGACAATAAATTCCTCATAATTAGGGGGAAAGTAAAATAAAATTTTCGATACGCTAAGAAAATTACTTTAAGTTTTTATTATTTGCTTTATTTATTATTTTATTATAATAATTAATTTTTAATTGCAAGAAATGTATTTATCATTCTTATTATTAATTATGTTAATCTTTTTTTAGATATCGGAGTCAATTTGGTAAAAATATGTTAAAAAGTTTCCAAAATTATCAATATCGAAAAAGTATTGGAACCAATCAGGAAAAAATGTATTTAAAAGTATCCAAAATTATCAATTCCGAAAAAGTGACTTGGAAAATATTGTGTAAAGCAGTGAGTTAAATAAGTGAGTAAAATAAAAATTTGGATCTTATTTTTTCATTAATATTTATAATTCAATTAACAGGCCTCGGATAGTTGGAATTTTTCGACTTTTTCCAATATTTACCGAAAAAGGCGATTTTTTCTACTTTCCTTTTAAATATTACAACAAAATATTGCTTTTTTGGTATAAAATGAAAATTATTTCGATTTTTCTTGTGCAAACAATTGCTGTAGTTTAATATTTAAAAATTTATTTTTGATTAATAAGACAATTAAATTTTCGAAGTTTTATGTTAAAATTCTTCCAAAAAATTAATTCTTTCTTAATATTTCTTTAAAATTGTTTTAAAAAATTCATATTGTTAAACATTTTTACTAAATTTTAATTGTTAGGAAATTTTTTAATTTGATATATAATTAAAAAATCTGTTTTCATTCAAAAATTATTTTAAAATACTTTTATAAAATCTATTTTCATTAAAAAACTGTATTTAAAAATATTTTGTAAAAAACTAATTATTAATTACGTATCAATAATTCACTTTAATAACTTTAAATAAAATTCATGAGGCGTCACAGTTTCAATCATAAGAAATATTGAACTTTTGTATTTAAATAATTTAATTCTCTAAAAGCTTTCGTAAAATTATTAAAATTAATCGATGCGAGAAGAAGTATAGTTAAAATTTCTTAAAAATAATTAAATTTTGAATGGATTGCAGTTTTATTTTTAGAAACAGTTAATTTTATGAATTTTTGATGTTGAATTTTTTAAATTATTTGAATGCATTTAAAAAAATAAATAACAAGTATTTAGAAGTTTTTATTTAACAAAATTATTTAATTTTTAAATAATTAAATTTTGAATTCATTGGAAGGGCAAGAACAAAATAAAAGGCAAAATAAAATTTTTGTGACAATACTGAAAAGAAAAAAAATTTTTTTTCTTGTTTTTTGAATCATTAATTGACTAAAGCGACTTTTTTTGCGCCTTAAAGTCGATTCGAGGCCTGAATTAATAATTAATGTAGTTAAATACATTAATTATGTAATTATAATATATTGATTAATAATTAATGTTTTTATTTTTATAATATATAATTTAAATATACAAATGAAAATTACATTTATTGATAAAAAGTTGAAAAAGAAAACATATTAAACCTCTCAGTAAATTTCACAACGTTTATAATCAATAATTCAGAAGAAAGAAATTTTTCTAAGCAAA